CTTTTCGCTAGTCAGTCATGTGTGGGATCGTGGGTGGGACGTGATAGCTGAGAGTGAAACACTAAAGGATTTGACAACCCTAAATAAACCAAGAAGCTGATTACTGCAGTCACTTAGTGGGTGTCATAAAAAAAAGGCCATCTCATTTACTAAGAAGCGCAGAGCTCCCTTCTGATCACTGTGTAATTTACTTAGACCAAATTGTTACACTGTATTACTTGTAATTAAGAGCTCTGTGCCAACGAAATAAGCAAGTAACACGACATAGAAGAAGGGAGGGAAAAAAAGCGGGTTTTGTCTCTTCTTACCAAATTGTCCAATTCCGGGTTTGAGGAAAACAGGGGTTTTTCTGCACGGATCTGAAGCCACATAAGGAGGGGGGAAATAAAAACAGTTTGAGTCCCACTGAACAAAACAGCAGCAGCAGATATAACCAGAATCAGGCGGCTATATGATATGTATATAATATCAGTGTAATAGACTAACACTACATCTTGTCAGGGTGTCTATTTTACCCTCCGATTAGGAAGGACATTAATAATAATCCCAGATCATCTACAAAGCGTTGCTCAATAACTGTGCAGGGGATCAATAAAGCACCCAGGGTTCTGACGGGTCAGGACAAAGTTTATGTGTGTGTGATCTTTATTATTATGGTGTGAGTGCTTGCTGGTGGTTGTGTTGCTTGCATCTGCATTGTTTGGCTGACCTGTTTGGCGAACACTGCAATGTCTTCATTGAAAGACTCAGAGGAGCACACATCACCGCCTGCTACTCCAGGTTCTCGGGGGGTACAAGTAGCTAGTTCACATTTTTCAAAAATCAGTGCTAACAGAGGGAACAGGGGGTGTCTGCAAGAGAAGCACAGCAATCAACAAAAATAACAAACATTAAAAAAAAGCATTACAAAAAAGCACAAGCTGTACAACAAGCTAAGGGCTGTCAGTGAAAAAAAAAAAGCCACATGATCAAGAGGACAGATGCCCCCCTGCCCCTCCCAGCTCAATGCTGCTCTCACCAGGGCAAAACACCAGAGGCCCTGGGCAAAGGCAATCAACGCACACAAGACACAGACCAGCCTAGCACTCCATTGCAATTAGCCTTCGCTCTCTTTCACTATTCAAGGCATAAATAAACCATAATAGAAAAAGACTCAGAGATCTCAGGCTCAAATGCACTGGTGGGTATTTTAAATGATATGATAAAGCAACCTAATATATATATATATATGAGCAGCCTAATCATTTTAGAATACTTCCAGTAACCGGTAGGTAGGCAAACAGTTAATAAAGGGCAGAAGTGAATTTGGATTGGATTATTATATTTCTTTAAAAAATATGTAGAAAAAAAATCTAAACTACTGAATTTTATGTCACCTTATTTAACACACACCGAAATGCCTTTTTCTATGACAACCGACGAAGTCTTTTAATATTTGAACACGGCTAAATCAGGTACTCTAAGAAGAAGGAGGAGGACAGGGAATTCCATTAACCTTCTAACTCAATTAAAAGTGTTTAAAGTCATTTATTCCATTTCCTGCGTAAACTGCAGTCTGCCTGTATGGAGCTATGGGGTGAAGATGAGGTGGGTTGGGCAAGAGGGGGACTGAGATGGGCTAGCAGCCCTGCAAAGTATGCGTTTAAATAAACTCCATGGCTACAAAAGATTAGGAGTCGTAAGCGACAAATTAGGGAGATTACACGTGTTTTCACATTAACCAGAGCGTGTTGTTTTAATTTATTTAAGCCCTTTCAAGACATCTATGGCAAAAAAATAGAGCTACTCTAACACAACAATGCCATGTCTATTTAACAGACAAGAACGATTTAAAAAATACAAAAAAATAAATAAATGAGCAAAGCCCTTGTCATAAGCAGACACGCATGTGAATATGCTGTTCAAGCACCCGCAGCTTTGCGTGTGTAAATAAATGTATTTTATTCTTTTCAGTTTTGTATAATAAATAAATACATATATCTATATCTATAAAATAAACGTAAATATACTTTCCTTGATAATACAACCCACTCACACTACTGCCAAAGTGTTGACCACCCCTATCATTATATCTACTGTTATTAAAAATAATACAATTGATTAACATTTTTATTTCTCCCTGAACGTTTAGCTTCTACCGAAATTTAAAACATGATAGTAATAGCAATACTTGCACAGACGTCTAATAAAACACATATGCATGCAGTGAATGTATTATATTTTATTCACACTTACATAAAACTCGTTTTGTTTAAGTTAAATGAAAAACTAACTTCACATCAGGGAAATGATACTGAGACCTAAGAGCAGCATGTTTAGCAGTGCTAGAAAAAGTTGGAAGTTTCCTGACGTTTGTACAGAGTTACACACAGTAAAGTAGACAGAGGTGCAGTATTGTTGGAGTAGTCTACTACCCTGGTTGTACAATGTGATGCCAGCTGTACCTACCCATAAATGGAATCTTTATCTCTCTTCAGAGCGTCATTGACTGAAGAGCCCATGCTGGGAGGCATAGCGTTGGTGTGGGCCGTGTGCGGGTATTGGTGGGAGTGCAGAGGTGGACCGTGGTTCAGATGGTGAACGGGCTGCATGGATCTAGCAGCATGGGGGTCCCCATACATGGCACTAGGTATCCCTACTCCATCCATCCCCCCGTAATGGGGCAAGTCGTCGTACTGTATGATAGACAGAAAAAACACGATCAGCAAGCCAGCAGACAACTGAAGAGCAAGGCAGGGCAAATGGTAAGGCCTCCAGCTGACTTCATCCCCTCCAAGGAACTGCTTCTATAATGGTGGCTCTGTGGATGTTTTCACTTTCTCCGGCCCCGTCTTGGAGGATTAGCATTTGATTTCATTAGATATCCCCCTAGACTGTTCACAGGGAAGACCAATGAAAATCACAACTGCAACTATCTGAGAGGTAACAGTTGGCAGATCAAGCTGAAAATGAAGCTTAGAAGGGGCTTGCTCCATTCAACACCCTTATGCCAAAATGTTCACATTAGGCCAATTGTGCCAAGTGTAGAAGTGGAGTGACCAGGATGAGTGTGAGCATGGAAATAAACTTACTGCAAAAAGTTGGCAAATGTGATGTGATCCGAAATGTTTATGTGCATATGTACTCTATGGGATATGTTTATATACATTGCATGTACCCCATACAATTATATATATATATATATTTGTGTGTGTGCATGACTATGGAACTAAACTATACAAACTACAAAACCTGAAACTTGACACATATGATAAAAAAGTTTGTATTCTTATGTCCCTATAGGAATAGGTTTGTATATATTGCATGTACCCCATACATTTATACACATACCTATATTTGTATGTGTGCATGACTATGGAACTAAACTGTACAAACTACAAAACTTAAAACCTGGCAAACATTACAAAAAAAAAGTTTGTATTCTTGTGTATCTTATAGGAGTAGGTTTGTATATATTGCATGTACCTCATACAATTATACACATATATACCTATATTTATGTGTGTGTGTGTGTGTGTGTGTGTGTGTGTGTGTGTTATAAAACTATACAAACTACAAAACATAAAACTTGGCAAATAATATGATAAAAAAGTTTGTATTCTTATGTACCTTATTGGAATAGGTTTTTATTGCATGTACCCCATAGAATTGTAGACAAATATATTTTCTGTATATATGTGTATGTGTTTCTCTCTCCATAATTTATATATATGTATATAGGTGTATAAATAGAAAAAATAAAATTTAGTGATGAATACAACACATGCATACATTATAATTGGGTATGTACATAAATACATATTTAAGTGAAAGAGAATGGGAGAATAAATGAGTGACTTTACTTTGTATTTACGTGTGTTGTGTTTACATAAATATAATACATATTGG